GGCACTTACGCCGCTCAAGTCCTCCCTGCAATGAAAAATCTCCAACAGGCGCTGGTGGAGGCAAAACTCTCCAGCTACATCCAGGTCTCCACTGTCGTGTACCCTATCGTGCTCGGAACCTCGTATCCCCCCTCCGCAGGCGTATTTGCCCAGAATGTGGCAGGAATCATGGGTGATATTGTAAAATATCTGCACAGCAACAACGCACCGCTCCTAATCAATGTTTACCCGTACTTGGCTTACATCTCAGATAAGCAACACATCTCATTGGACTACGCCTTATTTAGGTCTAACGAACCTGTAGTCATAGACGGAAATTGGAAATACTACAACCTGTTCGACGCAATGGTGGATTCGTTTGTAGCGGGGATGGTGAAGGTAGTCGGTAGTGAGGATGTCAAAGTCGTCATATCTGAGACTGGTTGGCCAAGTGGCGGAGACGATCCGAGCTTATCGGTCGATAATGCTCAAACTTACAACAACAATTTGAAGAATCGGATTAAAAGCGGTAAAGGGACACCGCGGAAGCCGGATATGAATCTGGAGACGTACATTTTTTCCCTGTTCAACGAGAACCAGAAACCAGCTGGAAGAGAGCAACACTTCGGAACATTTTATCCAGACATGACCCCAGTCTACCCATTATGGTAGTCTTAAACTTAGATTATTACATACTGAGTATGTGGTTTAGTACAATAATAAGCTGTTCACAAAAGAAGAATACAAACCATTACGTAAACAGATGAAAGTATATGTAATAAAAAGAGGCTAAGAGGTTGTTGGGATCGAAGAAAATGGAAGTATACTCTGAATTAATTAACAAAATATTGTAGTTAAATTGATTTAATACTTGTTTAGTATTGTGTTAATTTTTTTTAAAAAGATAAGTATATGTAAATATTTTATTTTAATTATTTATTTAATTAATGAAATTAAAAATTATTTTATCTTACTATATTATAAAAATTATTAAGAATTTTAATATATCTCAAATACCTTTTTCATGGGCCTTTTCAAAATTTTCAATAAATATTTTAAAAAAATACAAAATGGATTTTTTAAAATCTAAATCTAATTATATCTTTAATAATAATCTTTCCATGCATCTCTTCAATATTATATTATTATTAATAAATTTTCCATAGGCATATTCAATTCTTCTTTTTATATAATTCTAATTCAATGGAACTTTAATTGCTTCAACTATATTATATTTCAACTTAACTTCTAACTAAGTTTTTATTCTTCTTCCATTCATTTTTAGTAAAAATATATAAATTGTCTAAAAAATTTTCATTTTCGGACTATAGGAAAAAAAAAAAAAGGCATTAAAAAAGTCTAAATTTTATTCTTGATTAAAGGGCCTTTTTAAAAACCGAATAAAAGAGAGATGGACTAAGTTATAACTCAAGGGATTCATGGAGAGGATAGGCCTTCACT